GGATTAAATTTACCATTAAAGACTACTAACTTAACTTTTCATTTGTGGTGCATTACTATTTACTTCACTCTGACATTAAATGTTTCAGTGAGTCATATGAATCATTTTTTGCTCTGTATTATTATAAAGAAGTTTCTTAAGTCTGTAAAAGAACAACATAATTGTTTTTTTCAGAATATTTCATCGGTTGTTATAATTTCTGATTTTCTATGGAATTTCTTGATATTTCCAAGGTTTTTGCTCAAATAAACCTTGGAAATGATCTTGATGCTCTAGTAAGAATTAGTGATGTTCCGATTGTCCCAAGTCGCTGAAAATCAGTTACTGTTATGTAAAGCGACAATAATCGATTCACAAACTTTGTTCCGCAACGTCGTCGAAAATGTTTAGAGTATCAAAGGTAATTAATTCTGACGGTAATTTTCTTTTAGGAACATCTCGCTGTTAGCAAATAAATCATCTCAGAGACAATTTGGAGTTGAAAAGGCTCAATAAGTAATGTAAACAATAGTAATATAATGTGATGTGAATGTTATTATTTGACATCCATTGCAAAATAAAATCTATTTCGTAAAATTCTGACTATATAAGGTTAAAACTGTGTTAAAAAATTGCTAAATGAAGTTCATGTTACTGAATATAATCAAGTGCCTTGGGAAGTAAATGTAACTTCCATATTTCTTTTTAACACAACTTTATTCGAAAAGTTATCCATTATGTCCCATCCGACTGAACCGATAATCGATTGGGACATATTTCATCCGATTTCCATCACTTAAGAAAGAATCCTCGAAAAATATTATAGTATTCAGTTTTCCGAGTTTTGAGAAACTTAACCAGGTTTTTTTTATTATCATTTTTTTTATGGGTGGGATAAATATAAAATCACAAAAAAAATAACAGCGATTATAAAAAATGAAATTTTTTAATTTTTATTATAAATGCAAGAATATAGTTAAGAATGTTAAGAACTGAGTTGGCTAAATTTGCAACTTTGAAAAAACAGTTTCATCCATTGATGAAATCTGTTATTTTAGTATTATTGTATTGTAAATTTATGTCAATAAATGGCATATTTATTAAAGTTACATTTAATAAATTTCATAGAAACAGAAATAGCAACATTTCATTAATAAATTTGGTTTCAGATCAACTCCAGGTCCAGACAACCAAAATGAGTTTTATGAGCATACAAATATGCAACCTCATTGTGGCAAATTCGGAAGTACAATTTTTGTTTGCATGAGAAACTCCGCCTTCAGATCATCCGTACATCAATGTTAAATCAACAAACATTACTATAAGTAGCAAATCTAATTTAATGGTATATTTCTGCATTGTAAGTTATTTTCATACAAATTTAATCCTTTTTATGAGATGATTAATTTTTCTGAACCCCAGGCCTAGTGCATCGTGAAGTTTAAACGGTTAAATTGCATTTGCATAAGAAAATCTTATATTTGCTGTATTCCAGATAGCAACTATAACACTGTGACGTGGCGCATACACGAGTTGATTATAGTCTTCATTTGCATGTTAAAATTCGTATAGGAACTTTAGTGTTACCGTGGGGTTTTCCATTTTAAATCCTAATTTATGAACAGTATTTGATGAGATTTATAAGGATACTGTTAAAAAGGTTAATGAAACTGTAGAATGCTTGGTTTTTAGGCCGACGGCAAAAATACTTTTACATATTTATTTAATGTAGCTTTAATCTACATTTCCTGAAAATATTCAGTTCCTTTCGTTAGTTTTAAAATTATTGCAAAAATGCTACTGGAGAAGTTGTTAAATGTATAAGGCTGTAAAATATGAAAACAAAACCATGCATTACAATACTCTGTTACACTCAGCAGCATTTTTTTCCTCTACTTTGGGAATGGTGCCGGTACCAGACTGATTGGGAAAAATGCGTTATTTTGACTTAAATTGGGATTTTTTTCATGCATTTTTTCAGCTACAAATAAGATTAGTCATCATGAATAAAGATGGCTTACAGCTTACAAACTATTGAGTGGTGATTTACATGAATATATTGGATTTACATGATTTCAGAGAAATCACTTGGCCTTGTGGCAATTTTGAACAGCCATTTTGGGAATTTAAAAATTGAAAATTGGGAATTAATGTCTATTTTCTATTGGGAACAGTACCGTTTTAGGGTAGTAGTTATATAAAGAAAAAAACATACTGTACAGCTTACCCAATTTCTGCAGCTGGTAAAGTACCAAGCTGACTGGCAGTAAAACCACACAAGATTGATCCAAGCATTGTGATGTCTTCAGATGTCACAGTTGCAAGGTTAGATAAACTTTTAACACCCATGTATCTTGTGGCCAAGGCAGATAACTGGAATTACAATTTGTAAAATTAATCTAAGATAAGAAGTGTATATCAATGTTGTAAATAACAGTTATTTTAAAAGACATACAGGAGCTGATTTATTGATTTTCATAGACTTTAAGATAATCAACCTGTTTCATTTCAAGCTTCTCATATATTTGATCTTTGACATTGAAATTTTAACCAAGGGTCTATAAAACTGAAATGAACGTCACTCTTTTTAAAGCACAACAAATTTCTATTGCCTGTAATCATAAAAAGTGAATATCAGCTATAGGGTTGTAATTTATTCTGATTATTATGACACCTCGCAACACAAATTATTTATATTTTATGTTGTATAATTGTATTCACCAATTGTGACAAAATCATTTTGAACTGCTGCAAGCAGTGCTTTTTTTTTTTGCCTTTGTTTTTAAATTACAAAATCATTTTTTCATCATTTTTATTATAATATTGTCTATCAAACATAATTGTTCACAAGAGCCATGTTAACATGGCCATCCCCCCCGAATGTGTTTGCTCATTGGAAGAATGATATGTTACAAGTAGAGCAGAATAATTTTATTTTTTTAGAGGTCTTTTGGTAATGAAAACTGATGGCTGAAGTAATTACAGATTTGAAACCTATGTGAATACTGATGGCTGAAAATAACAAAGGGCAATAACTGAAAAATAATGCAGGGTCGGTTGTCGTTCTTGTGTGCTGCACTCCTTTTCAATGAGATCTACCCACCTATGAAGTTTCAAGTTGATACCTTTAACACTTTTTGAGATAAGCTCCGGACAAAAAGTATGAAAAATAACAAAGGGCAATAACTGAAAAATTATAAAAGGTAGAGTTATCATTCTTGCGCACAGCATTCCTCCTCAATAAGATAAATCCACCTATGAAGTTTCATGATGACATCTCAAAGACATTTGAGTTTATAATGCTCCTTTCTGGTGGAAAATTAAGTATGAAAAATAAAAAAAGGCAAAAACTCAAAAATTATGAAGGGAAGATTTATCACAACACACCTCCTGAGTGAGATACATCCACCTATGAAGTTTCATGTTGATATCTCAAAGGCTTTTTGAATTATGATCTGGACAAAAATTACGTTTGAAAAATAACAAAGGGCAATAACTGAAAAATTATGCAGGGTAGAGTTATCATTCTTGTGCACTGCACTCCTCCTCACTATGATCAATCCACTTTTGAAGTTGCAAGTTGATATCTCAAGTACTTTTTGAGATATGCTCCAGACAAAAATGTCGGACAGAAGGATGGACAGACGGATGGACGGAAGGACAGACAGACGGATGGATGGAGACTAAGTTATATTTTGAGTTTCAAGTGAATACCTTATATAGTAAATACTTAATGAGTTACTGTCTGGACAAAAAATAAACTTGATATGTATATTAACATCAAATTGACAAAGTTTGAACCCCCACATTGACTTTGACCTAAGTCGTAGAAACCAGAGTCTTGTTCGCGACACCATACATCTATGGTTATTTCATATATGAAAGAAAAATTAAAAGCCTTTCATGCATACTAAAGTTTCAGAGCGGACACAACCACAACCTTCTATATTTATATAACATAAAAAATGACAAAGTTTGAACCCCCTAAGTGACCTTGACCTTAATAGTAGAAACCAGAGTCTTGTTTGCAACACACCATACATCTATGGTTATTTTATATATGAAAGATAAATTACAATCCTTCCGTGCATACTGACGTTTCAGAGCAGACACGACCACCACCTTCTATATTCATATAACATAAAAAATGACAAAGTTTGAGCCTCCACAGTGACCTTGACCATAGTGGTAGAAACCAGAGTCTTGTTTGCGACCCATCATACATCTATGGTTAATTCATATTTGAAAGAAAAAAATACAATCCTCTCATGCATACTGAAGTTTCAGAGCTGACACAACCACCACCTTCTATATTTTTATAACATAAAAAATAACAACGTTTGAACCCCCACAGTGACCTTGACCTTAGTCTTAGGAACCCAAGTCTTGTTTGCGACAGCCCATACATCTATGGTTATTTCATATATGAAAGAAAAATTACAATCCTTTCATTTGATTTTAATATGCCACCCTTCGGGGCATAAAATTAACAAAGAGCAATAACTGAAAAATCATGCCAGGTAGAGTTATCGTTCTTGTGCACTGCACTCCTCCTCAATGAGATCTATCCACCTATGAAGTTTCAAGTTGATACCTCAAATACTTTTTGAGATATGCTCCAGACAAAAATGTTGGACGGAAGGATGGACGGACAGAGACTATTTCTATATCCCCCGCCGCCTTTCAGCAGAGGACAAAGACAAATATATCCTAATTCCTACCTCTGTAGAATTCCATTCTCTTAGAATTCCAAGGGAAGTAACCAGTCCATTATCAGCCAAAGGGAGACAACTCAAGTCAGTCTCACTAAAAGAAAGGGCAACAACTCCTAGATTCACTAAATCTATTGTGTCCATGTCACAAACATTAACCTTAGACAATGCCTGAAATGAAGAAATTCATCATTTTAATTTATCTTACATGATTACAATGTGGTATATACATAAAACTATAAAGTTCTAATTATAAAATAGCAGAGCCCAAGCTTACAGACACTTATTTTTACTGAGGTGCACACTCATATGCCGGAGAAGACTTCCTCCAAGCATTAGAGTCTGAATATCTCTATAATGACCTTGACAATGTCAGTGTCATTTAAAAAAAAAAAAAAAACACACAACAAAACACACACAACAAAAATGACTTCTTAAAAGATCCTTTTGAAATAGTTATCAAATAAAAACAACGGAAACATTGTCACAAAATATGCCCGTCACAAAAGCTTTTGTCAGAGATGTTTGCAATTAATAATATATGCATATACAGTCAACTATCGTTATCTCGACATCGCTTATTGATATTTCGTTATCTTGATGAAATTTTGAAAGTCCCGATTTTCTTCCTTCTTTATCTATATTGGAAATATTTGTTTATCTCGATATTTTTATTTCGATATTTTCAGTATCTCGATGTACAATTTCAGCCCCGACAGTTATTTTCACACTATTATCCTTTGTTTATCTTGGGTAATAGTTTTCTTTGTCTGTTCCCTTCAGACGTGTGAAAAACACAAACTAGACGATAATTGCTCAATAGCGCTTGCCATAATGATGATTGTTTGTAAGATGTTTAGCTGTTTTTATCTGTTTTAATCTATTTAGGGTGTTGATTGACTTATGTCCAAAATGAGTGAATATTACGTTCTTTATAAATATTCGAACACTGTATCAATTCATTATGACTTTAGATGTAAATGAAATAGTGAAAGTATAGCAACACTATCGTTGCAATATTGTTTCACAACATGACACCACCAAATCAATCAGGGGTCGAACAACATCGAGAAAGACCCGGTAAAAAACCCGGGAGGATATCTGGATCAACCACCCTGAAAACAATGTTTTCACTATAATGGTGTATTACTGAGTAAACCTCACTATGTGTTTTTATCACAGAAACCGGTCTTTTCGCTGGTAAATATCCGCTAATGTTACTTTGTTAAATATTGACTAGGCCTATGAAAACAAGACATGGGGATATCATAGTTCATTTGACATAAGGTATGCACAGTCATGTCTTTTGTAAAAATCAGTTTCTGCCTTATTCAAACCCTAATATGTTTATCTTAACATTTCGTTATCTCGATATTTTTTGGACGGTCCCGATGACTTCGAGATAACGAGAGTCGACTGTAGGAGATATGCTCTGGGCAATATCTGGATTTTGGATTTCTTTATAGTCTAGTGACCTTGACCTTACATGTGACACATTTGTAGTCATGATAGTTATCATTTGTGTTACAATCCATCAATAAATGATTACTAAATGTACTGTCCTAGGATGATAACTTGAGCCTTTGTTTACATAACAAAGACCAATAACAATGCGAAAAATAGGTTAGGCAGATCAATGCCATAATCTATAAAAATGAAAATAAAACTACTGTTATCATATGTCTTGTTAGCGCAGTAGGTAGAGCAACCGTGCCAGTAATGAGTTTATCCGTACAGACAGAAGTTCGACTACTGGTACATTTTTTTTTACCTCAGAACAGTCAATTGTTTGACCGGTTTTATGCATACATGAATATGAGATCGAATATTTTATTTCACTGTGATCAAAAAATACAAAAAGAAAAAAGAATAGAAATAAAAAATAAATATATACTATAAAATATATATCATAAGAAGAAAACAAAAAGGAAAACGAAAATAAATGAATAATTATAATGATAAAAAAAACAGAGCAAGAAGAAAAACCTGTGGTTATAAAATGGCACTACTTGGGGTTCGAACCTATGAGAACAAAACTCTAAAAGTTACAAATAATTTCGATCTACCGACAGAGCCATAACGGTAATACGCAAACGATACTGTAATAATAATGCTATATAGTATTTGAAATTGTAAGTGTTTACTTTTACGATATCGGATAATAATCCAGATAACCCCGTTTTTGGACTTTCCCATGTACCGTTAAGACCAAATTATCATCCTAGGACAGTACACAAACTTTGACCTCCCTATGTGACCTGTACTTTGGTAGCAGTGACCTGGATTATATGCACAATACTTAGCTTCACAATGGTAGTCATGATACTGACCATTTGTGTTTCAATCCCTCAATAAATGATGACTAAATGGGCTGAATACACATTTTCATCTGAACTTTGACCCCTATGTGTGACCTTGACCACAGGCACTTGAATTTTGCATGTGACACTCCGCCAAGTTATATTGAAATCCTTCCATGCTTGTAGAAGTTTTTTTCTGGACAAGTGTTTGTCAAGAACCTTAAAGTGTGACCTTAACCTAGAGACCTTATTTATGTGCATGACACTGCTTTTTATAGTGGTTAACATTTCTGTGAAATTTCATTAGAATCTCTCCATATCTGTAGGAGATATTCTATGGACAAAATCTCTATATATTATCATCTTTAGTGACCTTGACTTTGCATATATTAACCTAAAGTACATGTTTCACACACATAGTCATGATAATGACCACTTGTGTTTCAATCCCTCATTAAAAAATGGCTAAATGGTCTGAATACACATTTTCATATTTTTAACTGAACTTTGACCATATGTGTGACCTTAACCTTGGCTGCAGGGACATAAATTTTGCATGCAACACTCTGCCTTACAATGGTGAACATTTGTGCCAAGTTATATTAAAATCCCTCCATGCAAGAAGTTTTGCTCCAAACAAGCGTTTTTAAATGACCTCTAAGTGTGACCTTGACCTTTTATCTATAGACCTGGTTTATGTGCATGACACTGCTCATTATAGTGGTGAACATTTCTATAAAGTTTCATTAGAATCCCTCCATATGTGTAAGAGATATGCTCTGGACAAAATCTTCATATTTTATCATCTTTAGTGACTTTGACCTTTCATATATTAAATTAAATTACAGGTTTCACAACCGTAGGCATGGAAATTACCATTTGCGTTTCAATCCCTCAACAAGAAAAGCATTGATGCAAAGCATCAAAGGGCGTCCAAGCAAGAAATGCAGCAAGTGAAGATGAACTAGTACACATATGATGACAAGATATTCTTATAAACTACCAGAAATGTATACCACTTATGAATGAGCGGACGAAAGACATTGTTCATTATGATCTTTGATTGGCATGCTAGAGATTAGAATATTACTTGTTATTTCTTTATGATCGTGGTTATTAATAGCAACGGATATACATGTATGCAATCATTTATAATCCATATGTGTAACGCATGATCAACACGTACCACACATTTGTCCCTTATTATGTACATGTTATCGCTATTAGCGAAGACCCCCTTAAGGTATCTGTTCACACTTTAAGTTAGTAAAAATATGACACTGGTTATATTACCATGTTGATCATGTTGAGCATAATTGTTTATTATACAATAATTGTAATATCTATTAATTTTGATTTAAAAAAAATACAAATTTTATGAATATTGTTTTCTTTTATTCTTTTTTGTGTTTTATGTGCTATTTTAATACTGAGTTTTTACTACTCTTTTTTATTAAAATTGTAAAATAAATTTTAAGAATTCAATTGTCATATTGACCGACGATTATAAGTAAAAGCTTAACTGAAAAAAGTCAGTAAATTATGGTTTATCTTTCAATATATAATATGTTTATTCTTAAACCATGTACATGTACATTGTATTTTTCTTTATCATTTTTTAAATTATCGATCAATTGAATAATTCATAAAATCTAATTTGTAACTTTGAATAATTCCTCGGCATCTTTACTAAACACGGATAACAAATTGAATAATTAAATAAAATGTTTCAAAGTTGATAATGTCATTTTAATACCATAAAAAATGTACTTTTTCTCAATTATTGTACATATCACGGATTTATATTACATATAAATCCGTGTACATATTTATTGTTTTTATCTCATATAGATAAAATGAAACATGCTATTGTTGTTTTTTTCCAATTGTAACGATATCAAACATCTACTCCAAAATCGGGAGAGACCGGACAATAAACGTGTGGTACTATTCGCCGGTCACTAGTAAATCCTGGTCAAAATAGACCGGGAGAGACCGGCATTTACCGATAGGATTGATAAAAAGATATATCTATAAATAGGTTTTTGGAATATTTAGGTCATCAACTGATCATTCTAGGATACATGTACAACAATAACATACCATGACATGATAACCGACTGTGTACTACAAAATGATAAATAAAAAACCCCGAAGAGCGCGATTTATTGACGGAAAAGGTTATTTCATTTGTAAATGTTTGCATTGCGAAAATTCATTGTAACATATCGCGACATTTCATTCTTATTTAATAATCAAGCACCCTCATACCGATCGGAATTTTCGGCTTTTATTATGACCGACTAAAAGGCTCGAGAAGTTGCTGTCGCCCTTTCACAAAATCTGATCTCATTCCATAAGAGCGCCGCGCTTCGGCGCGGACGCCAACAAATGATAACTAAATGGTCCAAATACACATTTTTATCTGAACTTTGACCCTATGTTTGACCGTGACCGCAGGAACCTTTACTTTGCTGTGTTTGCATGTCCACCTCACAATGGTGAACATTTGTGCCAAGTTATATTGAAATCCCTCTATACATGTATAAGTTCTAATTGTGACCTTGACCTTTGACCTGGTTTATGTGGGTGACACAATTTTTCATAGTGGTGAACATTTCTATAAGTTTCATAAAAATTCCTTAATGTGTGTAGGAGATATGCTCCGGATAAAATTGTGCTTGCCACCCATCCGCTATAATACGACCAGTTTTTCAAATGGGCATATATAAACATCTCATCAGTTTTAAATCTTAGCTTCTATAACTGATAGAAACAAAAATTAGATAAGATAAATATGTATTGGTAATCTTTATAACTTGAATAATTTTTCAAAATTACCGTTTTTGCTTTAGAAAGCAGGGCATCCCTTTGATTACTTTTTAAATCTGTCAGTTTCCCAATATCTGGTATACAATCAATAAACTCTGCAGTACTCATTGCTGAAATTTCTGCTTCTGTTGCAGTAAGAAACAACATTGGTGAAGAGCGTATCTGTGAGCAGGTCCATTCAACTGAAAGTAAAGAAATATGCCTTTTTTCCCCTGCTAAAATTCTATTTTTGATTTGTACTGGTAATACTGACTGCCATCAGTATAAAATAACACCAGCCTGAATTTGTGGACGGTCTGACATGACTCAATTTTGGATTCTGTATAATATGTAACGCCCTACATTTAAATGAAGGCAAATGATTTTTAACCTATGATGCGACCAGTGCTAATTACTGGTAGGACCAGCCAGCATATACTACAACAAATTTTCAACTGTCAGGACAATATTAAAAAATATGACTGAAATTTCTGAATTCTTTTGATAAGAATAGATAAGAATAGATTAGTTGCAGCAATTGTTCTCTTCATATACATTATGTCCATATTTTGCTTTTCAAAATGAAATTATATTTTGTCTAATAAAATCATTCCATTTTCAAATTCTTTCATGGTACATTTATGTATCTAATCACCACCAACTGGTTGAATACTCATCCATTTTATCAAAGTATCATATCTGCTCTGTGTAAACATTTAATGTGCCAGATATACCTAGTTTCTTTAGCTAAAAAAAACAACAAAAAACAAACAACCCAACCTCAGTTGATATCAAATTTCAGATGGATAATGTTTCAAAATACTGGCAAAAAATCCCAGGAAGGTCATGTAACAACCCTTCACACCTCCCTTTGCCTCAGCACATGCTCTGAGTATTTAGCCTTTAAAATTTCTAGTCTATTTCAGAATAACACTGTTTATTATTAATTTATCAAAATAACACACAGAAAATATTCTGTTTCATTTAAATGTAGCTAAAATTTACATGCAGTTCTCCTTTTCCTGTTTTTTGCTGGAAATGTCTTTACACTTGTTATCTCATGATCTTGTAGCGCTTTCACTTTATCAACATCAATTAACTTTAAGGCCACCATTTCCCTTATGAATAACCCATTGTCTGTTGTCAGATTTACTTTCTGTAACAAATGTACATGTATGATTATTATGTATATGGCAAAAAAAAAATACTAACCATCATTCATAATTCATTTTGTAGGAAAGTACCCTTTTGATATGGCCATGTGTTTTCTAGTCATTAAGCAGGCCATATGTATACAATAAGTCATAGCATTGCATGCAGTGATCATGCTAAAGCTTGTCTCTAAAGGGCAACCCCTTACATGTAGTATCAATAACCAATTTTTATAAATATCATAAGTAAGAAAGGAGCATAACTCCAAAAATATAACTTTCAGAAATAAGACCTGTGTCTTTAAACTGTGCCTTATCATGACTAACAAGATTTAAAATCATTCTACTAAGTAGGCAATTTTGACAAAAATTCTGAGTCAAAAGGGGGCATAACTCATATATTGCTTTCAGGATGATGGCCCTTGTTTTACTACTGCACTTGTCCTGATCACGTGTTCCAAGTTTCTTGTTAATATCTTTCATAGTTTATAAAGCATTCAACTTAATGAGCAATTTTGACAAACTTAAGTTAAAAAGTGGCGTAACTCCAAAAATATATATGTCCTTTATAATACAACTGCCTCTTGTTATGATGAACAAGTTAAAAAGAGGCATAACTCCAAATATATAGCTTTCAGATTAATGCTCCTTGTCTTACAACTGCCTCTTGTTATGATGAGCAAGTATTGCAAGTTTCTAATTGATACCTTTAAAACTGTTTGAGTAATGGGGTATTAGGGATGTGCGGTATTACCGGTATACCGGTATACCGCGGTTTCGTTCAGACGCGGTACGTACCGGTACGACCCCTAGGAATACCGGTTTTTTAATATATATAATTTTACATAATATTTTTATAAGATTCGGACGTTATTTACCCTGTAATCTGTGTTTCAACCTAAATTAAAGTGGAATTCCAAGTCTATTTTTAGAGCAGCAGTAAATGCACAGTATAATACTCTAACGAATAATTAGTAGTGGAAAGGTCGGATCGTTTCCCGGTTGTTTTTCATATTTATTATGTAGTGTAAATACATTTCATACGCCGACATTTTTATAATTTCTATATATCATTCTTCATTTAAATGCATTAAAAGGGGACACCCATGTTAGTGCTCAGTCTAAGGCTAGTAAACATGTTGACGTATTGACGAGTGGCGACAATAACAAAACGTAAAGCATTTAGACATAGCCCAACTTGTAAACAGCTCATACCGTCATGGACGAATTCACCACGGTCAAAAATCCAAAGGGGAAATCGGATATTTGGAGGCATTTTGGGCTCCAAAAGTCTGTTTTTCTAAAATGTATTGTGTTTTATCAAAATGTTTAAATATTCTTATGGCAGTTGGTCTTAGTTTGCATAAGTTAAACATTAAAAAGTGTCTTCATAATACCGTGGTACATACCGCGGTACACAGGTGAAATACCGCGATATACCGTGGTACAAAAAAATTGGTGGTACCCATCCCTATGGGGTATTGGGCTACATTAAAGATTTTCAGAACAATGCAGCGATCATAATATCTCAACTTTTTCTTCAAAACAGACAAGCTTTTATTTTAGATGTAAAAATTATCAAAACATCCGCCTAGTATAACTGTTCATCATAAGGATTTAAGGAGTATATTGAAATAAAGTGAATAAAAAAAAATTATTGGTAAAGACACAGTATAATGGTTTGATTGAGTATCATGTATCATTGTATGGCAATCTGTATTAGAACTGTTGATAGCAGATACAAAGAGTTCTATCTTAAAATTTATATATGATATTCTTCACCTTTCAGGAACTGTATAAAATTGAAATAAAATTCTTTTTTTATTACATTTTATTTAAAATTACTTAAGAAATACTCACAATTAAATTGTCAATTTCAAAACAGCCATCTTCAAATATTCTGTTTTCTTCATCTGTGAACAACTTACTACAAATTTTATAACTTTTAATAAATTTTTACATTATTTCACTCTCAAGTTCATAAAAAAATATGAAATGTATTATAACTTATAATTGATTTTTTACTCACTAAATCATATTAATAGTCATAGAACTATTTAATTAATTGTCCTTGCAAATCTTCATTGGAATCTTAATACTTTGAAGATGTCAAAATATAAAATATTGATATTATTAATTATGAACTTTTAATGGTTAATAAATATTTGATAAACACACATTTAAACTATTTTAAAAAATACATAATTATCTCAGTTAAAATATAATTTGATTAAAAAATGCCGACATTTTCTTTACATAAAAATTTAACTTTTTTTTGTGTAAATATTTATGTATATATTGTACGAAAAACATCTTAATCACACAAAGCCATCACCTCTGTAAATAAAGAATATTCTTAAATCACAGTAGATAAACAAAATCACTATCATGCCTTCCAACCCTTTACAATTCAATTTGTATATTGCAGGGCGTCAAGTGAATTTTGGTCCTAAAAATATAGGACTTACCTCTGAAATATAGGACCATTTTCCCAGAAATATAGGAATATATAGGACAAGAAAAACAAAGAAATTCTGAACTTTAAAACTTCCTCCTCCACCCACTACACACTCCTTTTCTTTACAAGTTACAACAGGTTTAACAACTTTCAATACTTAAATAAAACTATGACAATTAATAAAGTAACATACTTGGAAAACTAACATTAATCAGTAAATGAAGCACTAGGCACTGTTCTGTATCTGTGTCCATTCATATGCCAAGATACTTACTTTTATCATAGTAGGTAACTGTTAAGCAGGAATACTAACTACATTGGCCTACTGTAACATACATTTGACAACCTGTTTGATTAAGATGCTTGTGTTGCAACAATAAAAGGTCAAATGCTGCTAAATTAATCACACTTATGCTTCTTGGAATGAGATGAATGTGGCATACTTCATTCCCCAAATGACTTCTGCATGTAATACATCTTTATTAGGTAAAGCATAAGTTAGTTTTGGTAAACCAACAGCAGTACCTGAGATTCCTGACCTGACCTTTCACTCTCTGCTGTGTTTGAAGATGCACTAGGCTGTACTTTGAATGTTAGTTTAGTCTGTTTTATTGAAAGAATTTACTCACTTAATTTCTCGTGTTGTGACCATTTCGCATGGTGAAGTATTTGATTAATTACACAGTACAATATTGTCACATTTGATCTCTATCTTAGAAAGGGTACACCTCACAATATGGTCTGAACTACCTTTAACACACCATGACTGTAACTTTTTTCAATTTGAATTTATTTCAGTTAGCCACAGTTCCTGAAACTTTGTTTTATCCATAGGCATGTTTACCCTTGTTAATGATATACTATGCTCATCCTTGAGTAAAAATTTTAATCACAGAAATTTATTGAAATCCATGAAACTTTAACATGAATAAAAAAATGAATGAACCATGTACGGGAAGCTATCTATTCAACAGGTCAAGTTGACCTTTTCTTTAAAAAAAACTATAGTTTGAAGAATTTTAAACATTGCATAATTATCTACTTTGTGTGAAGTCAAAACATGTTTATTTATATTTATAAAGAGACTGTGTAGCAATAATAAATATTTTCTAATAACAAATTTGAGCATAGAATATCTCAACCTGAAACAGAATACTTGTTAAAATATAGGACAGCTTCACCTGCAAAAAAGTTTGACTTCCCTCAAACAAATCCAAAAGGTAAAACTGGATTAGCTGGGCTGGACAGGGTCGCTACACTTGAAAGAAAGACGGATTTTCAAGTAAATGTTGCACATAATATACAAACAGATGACACAAACTGCTTATAATATACAGTACTGGTTTTGCTCCATAATCCAATATTTCTTGCTTACCACTAAATATAGGAATTTATAGGAATTTCACAAAAATATAGGAATTTTCATGGAAATATAGGAATTTATAGGAATTACACCAAAATATAGGAATATATAGGAATTTATAGGAAACTTGACGCCCTGATATTGTCCTGCTATAATTCAAAGCACCTGCTACTTCCAATCACTTTCAGTCATTGAATTTAAGATTTTGAATTTACTGGCCCGAATTCCAGTTTTGAATTTATTCTACTATATATTTAACTAAATTTTCTTAAAATTTACACTGGCCTGAGGCCATGGGCCACCGGGCCAGTGCTAAATTTGATGACTGCACTTTACCTTTCATAGGAGCCTAACTGTTTTGGGAAAGTAGGAAGTAGACCCTATATCGACTGAAAATGCTAAGGAACTATAAATGAATAAAATAAATAGATAAAAGGGATGTTGTATCTTACCGGGAATGGTTCCGCTGCTTTTCCCTAAATAGTCTGCATTTTTCTGGAAATATGAAAAGGAGACAGTGAGAGAGATGAAACTCTTTAGTGTTTACAAGATTTAATAGAAACTATTTCACCCAAAGTGTTTATATACAGCAGCTGTAAATCATGAAGGGGGGGGGGGGGGACTGATTTTATTTCCAAAAACAAGTTATTTCCCAATAAATGTACACTACCTTTATAGCAGTCTGCCTTTTCCAAGTTTACAAATAAACTATATTCAAATTGAATATATGTTCATAACATTATGTTAAGAAAATTGAAATACAAAGAACTGTTAAAAGCTTTGCTTGCATTTTTTTTATATACACCCTGTTTATGGGGCAATGTGATATCATTTCACAATGGTTAACAAAACATAATGGTAGCATGCATGCCTAACTGAATGATGAGATAGCACAAACTCTTAATCTGCTGAATTTCTTAAATGGACTTTTCCAATTTCCATTTTGGAACAGTCCGTTTTCCATTTTAGGGGATATCAAGGTGAGAATTTCAAGTTGGCCAGCCAACAGTATAGAGCCTGGTCAGACTGCATGGATGTGCAGACTGGCCTGGCTCTATACTGGTGGCAAAGACTGATCACTTTGGCCTTCAGCATGGTAAAGGCTAATTTCTTCAAATGTCGCTTATCCTTTTTATGACTGAATTATATAAATAAATTAACAAGTTTAATTTAAGCAGCATAATATTTCAGTGATGTTTAAAAATTTATTATATCCACAAATTATGGTACACAAAAAAATACTGTTGGTCCCAAAGTAAAAAAAAAAGACAGTAATTAATCAAGTTTTTGTAAACTGGTTAAAAGACCACATTAAATGTTAAATTACCTGTCAAATCTGCAAGAACTTTCTTAGAAATTGTATAATTCAAAGGACTGTTTTTTTCTCCTACAAGGTTGTCATCTTTTACAATACTTCCACTAGCAATCCACAGTAACACTGAAAGATAAAAAAAACAACAATTAAAAATCAGAAATAAATAACCTAAATTGGTAAAGATTCCCCTTTTTTTCTTTTTTTTTTTTAAGCTTTTATCTTTCAAAATTAATCCAGTGAAATAAACTGTGAAATAAACTTTTGTTTTATTTTTTATTGTCAAAGTCTCAAACTTAGTCCTTAAAATTGAATCTCTTCAATACAAGGCTTATTTGGTAAAAATTTCTTTAATACACTTTTAGGCATAATTATTTGGTACAATTTCTTACTCTTGACATGAAATATCCTCTATTTATTATAAGGAAAAGATTTAGTATCTTACATAATGATACTGTTGATGACAAAATAAACCCTTTAGCCATAGCACAATCTGAAATAAATTTAAAGGATTTTAATAATCATGATTGAATTGGCTTAAGTTTTCTCTTTTATGAAGTTTATAAAGATACTATTTTGTCAATACACATGCAATATTGTTATTTGAAACAAGTTTTCACTGTAAGATTGGTTTGTTGGAAAAATTTGTATTTCAGTATGGAAAAAAATGCAATCAAAACAATCATCAGACAAAAGATTACTTAAAAATAGGTAAATGGTTATCAAATTGTTACCTTTTTACTTTGTGATAACTGATAAATATTGAATAGAACTTTAGTATCATTAGCAGTAATGGACCATTTACATATGTTTTTTACTTTTTATTGATTGCTTAAGTCATTCCTGGTATTAAGTACCTAAGGTAGATCATGGGTAATGGGCACCATAAGGAACTGTAAAATTGACAACATTATCTAAGGACAGTTATATGTCTTCAAGGTAATCTGTATGCAAAATTTAACTAAAATTTACTTTGTGGTTTATGAGTTATGGATATATTTCTGAACTAAGACTTTGCCATTAGAAGGGCTTATTTTCCGAAATGAGGAAACTCTAAATAATCATTAATATCATCATTATAAAAAATGTTTTTCTATTGTTCATTGTTAAGAAACAAATAATGACATTCAGGTAACAAATTACACAAGCAAAATGTTTGTTTCTAAACAAAATGTTCTTAATATGTATAAAAATGTTACCCTACCCCACCCACTTTAAACACTATTGTTACCATTTCCCTATCTAAAATGCCTTATTCAAAATATCCCTTAAATTTACCATAATGAGGGGCTGTTTTCAAAGCTTGCCTAAATTTTTTTAAAGGTATATTGGTTGATAATGCGAAATATAAAATACATTTACCGTGTCGTTTTTATCTTATTAAACTTTGAAAATATCTGGTATCATAAATTTGCTATAAATTTTGGCATTATTTAGCAAATAAATACCTACAATAATTATATAATTTAAATCAAACTCTTTTTCCTTCCATAAGGGTTCAGAGAGATACATAAGTAATGTTAAAAAGAAAGAAAGAAAAAGTTGCCCCTTCTGGGGTTTGAACCTAGCCTATTTGAATACTCTTCAAAGTGGAGCAAATGCATTACCTTATAATGGTCTACCTTAAAAACAAAAATGGCTGCCACTCATATTAGGTTATTTACAGAACTAACTTTTTGATGTATACTGGTTGGAGAGATAACTTCGACGCATAGATAACCCCCGACACTTGGTTCAATTTTTTTATTTATCTATTTAGCTTGACTTTTCGATAAGAATAAGAAGAGCTATTGTAGTCACCCGAGCGTCGGCGTTTGTGTTGGGGTCGACGTAACCACTTATGTTACAGTTTTTGTAATACCTCAAATATTTTCAAAGTCCATTGACATATGGCTTTGAAACTTTGCACACTTGTTCACCATCATGAACCCAACCTGTAGCATGGAGAAGGTAACTGTATCAAGCATTTTGACAGAATTATGCCCCTTTTTCGACTTCCTGTAGATTGAAGAGGTTACTGTATCAAGCATTTTGACAGAATTATGCCCCTTTTTCAACTTAGAATTTACGTTAAAAATTTTGTAATACCTCAAATATTTACAAAGTCCATTGACATTAGCTTTGAAACTTTGCACATTTGTTCAACATCATGATCCATACCTGTAGACAGGAGGTGGTAACTGTATCAAGCATTTTGACAGAATTATGCCCCTTTACTGACTTAGAAAAGTTTGCCACCTCAGATATTTTCATATTCTATTGACATCTGGCTTTTAAACAAGTTGAAATTTTATACTCTTCTTTGAGAGCATAATAGGACTCTCTCCAAGGCCTATAACTGTAATATGGATTTAAAGAAAAAATTTGCCCTTTTGTTAACTTAGAAAATTTTACATTATCGAGGCTCTTTTACTATCAAGCACTAAGAATAGTTGAGCGTTGCTGTCCTACCAACAGCTCTTGTTTTGTCAACAAACAAGCACATGGTCACCTAGTAATAAAGGAAAAGGACAGTAATGAGATTTTTAAGTTTGGTAAACTTTTAAATGTGTTTATGTTGACCACAATTTTTTGTTACAGAAAAAGTCCACAAACCTAATCTTTTTACTTAACTTCCACACAGTAGTTAGAATCGCCTTGAACACAGCCTCCCTACTTGGGGAAAATTTCTTTTTTAAAAAATTGTTGAATTATCAAGAAGGCATAGATAAAGCATATAAAATGTAAAAACAATTTATTTATTCTGATTTTCAAGCTAGTTTTTAGTTTAAAATTTAATTGTTGACTTTATCTACAGTCCAGGGTTAAAAAGACCATGTTTCGGACACCTTATTCAAGACCTTAAGGAAGTCCCAGTTTCCATTTCAACAAGAGCCATGTTATCATGGCCATCCCTCGCCACTGGAAGAATATATATGTAGTAGAGCAGAATAATTCAATTTTAAGGTGTCTTTTTGTAATGAAAACTTATGGCTGGAGTGATAAAAGCTATTGAAACCTATGTGAATACTGATGGCTGAAATAAGTTTTAAATCTTCAAAAAGCTTCTAACTGAAAAATAATGCAGGGTAGGCTATCATTCTTGTGTGCTGCACTCCTCCTGCACTGAAATCTATCCACCTATAAAGTTTCAAGTTGATACCTCTAACACTTTTTGAGATAAGCTCCGGACAAAAATTATGAAAAATAACAAAGGGCAATAACTGTAAAATTATAAAGGGGAGAGTTATCATTCTTGCACACAGCATTCCTCCTCAATAAGATCTATCCACCTATGAAGATTCATGTTGACATCTCAAAGACTTTTTGAGTTATGCACCTGACTCAGGTGAAAAATAATCAAGTATGAAAAATAACAAAGGGCAATAACTCAAAAATTATTAAGGGTAGAGTTATCATTATTGTGAACTGCACACCTCCTGAGTGAGATCTATCCACCTATGAAGTTTCATGTTGATATCTCAAAGACTTTTTGAGTTATGCTCTGCACAAAAATTAAGTATGAAAAATAACAAAGGGCAATAACTAAAAAATTATGAAAAGTAGAGTTATTATTATTGTGCACTGCATACATTCTGAGTGAGATCTATCCACCTTTGAAGTTTCATGTTGATATCTCAAAAGCTTTTTGAGTTATGCTCTGGACAAAAATTAAGTTTGAAAAATAGCAAAGGGCAATAACTCAAAAATTATGCAGGTTGGAGTTATCATTCTTGTGCACTGCACTCCTCCTCAATATGAGCTATCCACCTATGAAGTTTCAAGTTGATACCTCAAATACTTTTTGAGATATGCTCCGGACAAAAATGTCGGACGGAGTAAGGATGGACAGAAGGACGGACGGAGACTATTTCTATATCCCCCACTGCCTTTCGGCGGGGGATAATAAAAGGAAATTTGCATATGTTTATAAATGTTTGAACTGAACTTTGTTTGGGTGGGTAAAAATTTAAAATATACACAAAAATAAAAAATCTATTTAAAAAAATAGTGATTTAGTGTCGAACTCGAAGTTATCTCTCAAACCAATACTGGAAAGCTATTTTAATACTGGTAGTTAGATATATTTGGGACACTTCAGTCTATATTTTTGAACACAGAACGTTAGATTGATGAAATAATGCCTAATAGTTTATCAGTAGGTTCACATTTCATAAAATTTGCCGCCATTGCTGCCCTAATTATCACATGACTAGCGAGAATTTAGGTTCGGATACCTTTGCATGACATTTGGTGACCCATGACCAAAATACTATTTTTTATTAATTGAAACATGGCTTTGCAATTATGAATAATGGTGTATTTATTCAATAACAGACATTGTACCAAAAACATTTTGGATTTATATTGTTTTGAGTGATGATTCATGAATTATTTGTTTGTTTCTATTTAAAATCGTACACTTACTAAAAATAGTGTATGGTCCGTTACTAAAAAAATAGATGCTAAAATTCCCAAAACTTGAAAGTCCCGCGAGATTTCATTTGAAAGCAGACTCCATATTGGTAAGCATTTTCTACATAATTCCCTAACAAATGGTTGGGTACACAATGTAATTGAAGTTTCATTTAAAAACAAAACATGAATTGATTCGAAATTGATTTGTTTATCAAATGGTATTTTTATTTTTACCCAAATTTGATTAATAAGGGTGATTTTAACAGGTTTTATGTACGGCACTCGAACTGCCAAAATTCTGGTACCCTTTGCAAATAGGGTTGACCGATAACTTTACTGTCACACAACGTCAAAATAAAAGCGACATATAAAGTTACGAAAGCCAGAACTAGATCCCAGTATAGTTAAATTATTGGAAAATTGTTATTTTCATAAAACAAAAAATGGTAGATTCTACAGAAAATAACTATTTTATCCTAGATTTTTTCTGTGTTATATGATGGCGGGCCTAATAAGGTTTACATTCCCGGTAGATAGTACAACCAGGATACAATTTTGTCTGCACTCTCCAAGAGAGGCTGGAGTGGGGTGCAAGGCACCATGCAGATGAGGTCATATCTTGTGGAAAACATACCAGTTCATTAAAACACAAACGAAAATTGAGTAGAAATTCACTTGAATTTTTAAGAAAAAAAAAGCACTAAAAATGGGGGTGTGCGGAACCGCGTCCTGCAATGTCCTGTGTGGAACCGGGATACACTGACTCTAGCTATCTCAGAAAGATTGTTTAGTTCTTTGGGGCCAGTTTTTTTTATCAATTAAAGAAAAAAATGGGTTTTAAATGGACATTAGAACTTTTGTGTAGAACTTAAACTAGAAAAGAAACTCCGTAAGTAACCTGTTAACAGCAAAAGTACTTTGAATACTATATTCCCGCCAGAAATTTCTGAGAAAATAGTTTGTTGTTGTTGTTGTGACGTAAATCAATGTCTAAAACCCGTATTTGACTTTAATACCGGATATTTATCAAATCCGCGGATATGACCAAAAATAAGGAATATGACTTGTGATATTGAAACATATTTTTGATTTCTTTTCCTTTCTTACTTTGATAATTTATAATAATAAAATAATATTGCATGCAAAATGGACTCATAAATAAAAAGAAATATAAGTTATATTAGTTGTACCAGAGACGTTCTATATAAAATCCATATCCGTAGCAGACAGAAGCTACCGAACATGACTCTTCTTTTCCAACTAATCTTTTTTCACCTAATTTCTTGCTATGATAATATATAATAATATCCATCTATTCCTGTATTCTTCTGTAACAATTATTATATAATTACGTTTTGGTCGAAGAAAAGGAAGGGTTTCAGTACGCCTATAAAAGCATGTTTTTTCCTATTTACCAAGCTGTCTGGATTTATCAGGATTTCTTAAATTCTTATTCAGATATATTTGGTATCCCTGTACTGTATAGGAATTTTTAGAACCAGATCAAATTCAAATAATTATAACAAATGATAATGTGATCAAATGTAAAAGAAACTGTATGTTGATAAACAAAGACAACATACTTATGGCATAAAGCAGCTGCTAAAAATAAAATATAATCTAGCAAGGTTGTCTATATGTATACATGTATTTTTCAAATATTATTACGTGTTAATTACTTTTTTTTTGGTTTTAAAGGGAGAAAAAAGGAAAACAGCATTGATAACTGAATAAGAGGGTCATGTTGGTAATATATATCGCTCATCTGTCTATCAAGGGACAAATGCTTTATGTCAAAGTTCACCAATGGCCGCCATGGTTCATCAGTACATGCTGTCACAGGCCAAATAACATGATCAAAACTTACAATAAATAATATCAACGTTTTATTCAAATTCAAATTAAACTGATGTATAGTCCAAATTCATTATATGTAGCCCAACATTCAAAATTGTGTTCACAGCAATACTGCCTTGCAAAAAGCAAAATGTGAACTTGTATACAGGAAATGTTGAATACTTATTTGAGCAAAATATTAGCATATTTGGTATCAAATTTATAAAACGTATTGACAATACGATGGCTACCATTTGATTGAAATTTTATTTTCATCGGAAACGTTTGTTTATGTGTAGATAGCGTTCCGCACACTTACCTGGCTATGGAACTTATCAATATTACAGACTTAGTAATACCTTCATTTACCTGTCGCCCAGGACGTCCGTTGACAGGTCCTGGAGTGATTTAAAAAGTTTTAGTTGCAGAATATCAAATATTGAATGTATATAATTTATTATTATTTGTAAAACAATGAATATCTTTGTTAATGTCTTAAGAGAAAGAATGTTCATAATTTTAATATGTATATAAATATATCAATATGGAACTTGAAATTTCAGACCTTACAATTACAATGCCTTAATAACAAAGAACATCGTGCACTCACATACTTCTTTGGTGTATAACAGGTTCACACCTATTTTCGCATTAAACGATGATACAGGTTGGTTACCAAGCCAATATTAACGATGGGCATTTACTAGAAGTATTCTATGCTTCTAGAACAGGCCTTTGTTAATGGATGACAACAGATTGACAATACGTTTACGAGTTATGTTGTGACAATTAATTAAAATTTCGATTATCTCGGATTAGGACAGACTTTTGATACACCGACAATAGCACGTGATCGAACCACTCACTTCTATCCGTGAAATCCAAATTGTTTCAAAATCAAGAATCTATATGGACTATTTAAGCAAGAGTACCGCAAAAGCGGGGCATTAAACGCATGAATGTAATTGGGGAGGCTATGCCGACCCAATGTTAATAACTGTTCGTCAAATCTTACTGCCGCGGTAATCAGGTCACTGCCGCGGTAATCAGGTCAAAAAATAGTACCTTGATCTTTTCTAAGCTGACTCATCACTCATCACAGACATTTACAATATGAAAATATTTTCATTCTTTAATTTCATATCTGCAATTTGTAAAGATAATAATTCTCTGAAAAATTCTTGATTTTTGTTTAAATCACTACTCCGTGACGTCATACTGCCGCGGTAATCAGGTTTAGGCATACGTACGTCTGTAATAAATAGTTCTGGTATGAAAACCCTTCAAAATAATAACTTTATCGATATTTTTTTAACAAAAAGCATAAATGAAAATTTGTAAGTAAATGCTTTAATTTAGTGGCAAATATTCTTTATTATTCTTGATAACAATTTTCCAATTACTACGCAGCGACCAACTGTTTATGACGGGTCATTAACTAGAACGTTCCAACACCATATTCTCCATTGTGTACACCGGTCTTACTGACGATATTTGAGACCGGTGTATATACAATGCCGTATTCTCAATATCATGCATGTTCTTTTGTTGTTATAAACCATTAAAAGTCCTTAATATTTTTTAAAGACAAATAATTGTAAACTGTCGCTTACATCAGAGACATGGATCATGCTTGCGTGATAACTAAGGAAAACTAACTTATTAGTACACCCCAGGAGGCTGTACGCGGAAAACGGTCATAAACCGCTATATCATAGCTGCTAGTAAATATTTTGCATACATTTAACTAAAAATTCACTGATGGTGATGAGCATATAGTTTGAAACATTATATTCTTGAACCATTATCGCCGAAAAAAAACTATTTAACTACAAAACCCCTATAAGGACCTTCCGACAAAATTCCAGCACAATATTACATTTTACATTAGTAAAATAAAAAAGCAATACTTATATTTTCATCTTACATAATTCATTAATCAAACTTTTAACATAAAAGTATATTTGGCAATTGACAGATCCCTACTCTGATCTTTTATTTGTATAGGAATAAATTTAAACATGTGCTCTTTTGTTTAGGAATATTTTGTAGTGAAAGTCTTATATATTCACTGATCTCATAATTAGAATTAGACAGGTCAGGGATTTATACAACCAGTTGTTTACTTAACTATGCTCATTTTAATCCCAATAGAAACATTCAAATATTTGGGGTATAAAACATGACCAAAGTACCTAGTAGTCGTTTGCCCGGTGGTGATCCCATTAAACTGATTATAGATTCGAATTGATTAGAAAACACAAATAGAAACATGTGTTTCCGTACGACAAAAATCGGAAGTAAAGTGAACAGTTAATTGACAGAAATATGTGGTCAAATATGTTTTAACAAAGAAATAATTATTTCAGAGAAAGACGCAAAGATCAGTATGACCCCGTATTGTGTAATTAGAAAGTTTATTCAATTCTAGGGCATACATCATAATTTGATAGTCCATGTGTAATAAAATTCAAATTTTCAATACAGATTATGAGATACATAAAAAATATTAAAGAATAAGAAGCTTTAATTAAAAAAAACAAAAACAAAAAAAAAAACGCATACATATACAAATTACTTACAGTCGAGCATCGGGAAGTCATTAACATATCTTACGAAACTTTAATTTGAAAACGATATTTGCGCGCGCTGAAGTGATTAATGTTTATTTGAAAAATAAAAAAAAGAACTTTTATGTTTGTGTTCTAAAAATAATCGGCGGCATAAGAGGAATTTCTTATTAATTTTACAACACTTGAAAAATTACTACAGAAAATGTGTTGTTGTTTTTTTTGTTTTGTTTTCAACAAAAGTGAGTGTGTTTTAAGTTTATTTATACTCGGCGCCGGAATAACCATATGTCCGAGATTATAGCATCTGGGACGTCTTTTTCAAGCAGATTCTTCCTGGAAGCCCATTCTTCGTTCTTTGGTGGTAAAGGAGACGACAATACCGTCAAGGCATCAACTTTCTGACTGACGACAACAAAAACGGCATCTATTAGCGCCAAACCTCCAGAGTAAGTCACGACAGGTCAACCAATCACCTCTGGTACTTATGATGACTTGACTATGTCCTTCCGTGTGCCTTCTCCGCGACGTGCACGCCTCTGGAGGAAATTGGAGAAGTTTCAACAAAAACTTCCAAAACACGCCATTTATAACATCATTCATAGCACTGACGGCTTCGGTGTTCTCATCTATTTGCAGGAAATGGTCGACAGGGAAAACCCTACGTAATAACCGCACACCCTGTTAACAACAGATTTTCCGCAGTATATATTTCAAGCTAGTGAGGTTTAAAAATACACAAGCTATCGATTAACTACCATTAGTTGGTTGAGTCACGGTGTCAAGGGTATACGCATCATTTTTCCGCGTACCGCCGATAATTTGTCATCCTATGCGCAACACCGTATCATTCTTACGTAATCTTCTGAAAAGTGCAAGAGGTCAATTCAAAAATGCGAAAATTTCTTACTAAAATTGATTTTATTTAGAGAGTTTGCATACATCACGGAAGTTTTGAATCATTCATCTATGTGTGCAAAACATTTTGTAACAATATTTGTCTGTTATAACCCGAAACTAATGAAAACACTTTTATACATGTGAAACATTTGTGATCTTGAAGCAAACATTTTTTTATCCTTTTCCGAAAGTAAAGCTGTCGGAAGAAGTATAATAATTCAAATGATAGCAAAAGAATTGACTCGAGCTGATAACATACCAATTTTATACAAATAATGCAAAATAATGTTGTGAAATCAAGAAAACTTTGATAAACATGGTACCGCATCATGCAGAACCATGGCACCGCTTCTTTTTGCGCGGTAATACTTTTTTTTCTGGGGGGAGGGGTTGGGTATTGCTAATTTTTATTGTAGGATTGACAAGAAGAGGTAGATGTTGGCTATCGGTTAGGGTAGGCGGGGCAGTGGATTACCTGGGCCTGGAAGCAATCTGGACCTCTACAGTTGTTTTTAAAGATAATTTCTTGTTAAAAATGTATGTTTTCGTAGCAGTTGCATTTTATGTCTTTTGTGAGGTTGAACTTTTCTTTGGACTAGGGAATTGCATAATATTTGCAGATTTCAGTAATCGAAATTTTACTCTCAAATTTGTTAATACATCACACAAGCAAGTCAAAGCTTATAT